TTTCAATCATAAAATTACCCATGTTGCTGTTAATTAAATTATGATTGGCCTATCTTGGCCTAGATTTCATTTTCTAAAGATTGTTTTAATTTATAAACATTGTACTACTATTTTAGGAAAGTTTTCAGGCCTTGCTATGAAAGGATTGGTATGTCGAGAGTTTGTTTCTTCATCAACTCAGAGAAAGAAGTATGTTGCATCAACTCAGAGAAAGATAGAAATTTCATCAACTCAGAGAAAGAAATTACATAAACAAAATAAACAATTTTGTGTCATTCATATAAATAATGATTTATTCTTACAATTTCCTCTATGAAAATTTGGTGTGTTAATTAATAAAGTTACTGTAAAAAATAAATAACAGCTTTATGGTGCATCCATGCTGTGCTTTAATATTGCAGTGGTGTAGGCAATGGAGGTGTGTTGGTACCAGTGTGCTTGTGTGTGGAGGCCAGATGCTCCAGGAGTTCACGGACAAGGAATATCAAGTCCCCGACAAGGAATATCAGGTACCCCGACAAGGAATATCAGGTTCCCAACAGGGAGCTATAATCTTTCAAACAGTGAAATTATTGTTTTGTACGTTCAACTTATGCTCGCACATGAAAATGTTGAATTTTATAGCTCTCATAAAATGGTGCAGAATTTATTGTCTGTAACAGTGCATTTACCAGCACTACAAAACAAGGTCATTACAAAACATAATTTTTCCCAGTACATTCCACTTCCCTGATTGGGGAGGGGCTAGAATTTCCACATAGGGGAGCTACAGCCCCCCCCCACCCCATACCTGATCCTTGCACTGCCTCTGCCTTGCCCAATTTCTCTTCAAAAGTTTACAAATTATAAATTTGGTGCTGTTGACATGAAGTGCTTCTCAATTTCAAATTTCAAAACTTTCCTCCTGTGCCTATGGTGACTAATTAAACCTTGAAATCTAGCACTATAATTTATAAACATTATGTCAACTGCATGTAAGAGATTCAGAAGTTTAAAAGTTTCCCAGATGTTGACACATTACTTAATACTGAATGTATGTATACAGCATAAAATTAGGAGGCTCATCACCAGTGTAGCAAAGTTGCAGTATTAACAATATAATTTGTCAACTGTAAAAAAACATTGATAGCCTATAAATTAAGCTATATATTGCATGAAATTTAAGGCAAAACAAGGTGGAAGAACTAACATTTCCAGCTATTATACTAATCACTTTGTCATTATTAAATACTATTAAAATACAATTATATGTCATTATTAAATACATTTAATATAAAATACAATATTTTTACATAAATTAAGAGCCTTTGATGTAATTGATATAAAATCAATAAAGTATGTCTATTAAATTTAGTATATTATAAAATAATTTATATTTTATAATATACTATATTTAATATAATATTATGTATGGCATGGACACCTCTTGCATTGAACAACCACACAAACACTCATTCACGATCAGGATTTTCTCATTTGTAATTGAAAGATTCAAGACATCACTCACAATTTTTGTAGATTTGTACAATTAACGGTACAGTCTTTCTCGCATAGCCTTTCGCCTGTCTTTGTTTATACTCTGTATATAATTAAATCTCGTATATAAAACTATAAAATGTCCCTTCGGCTTCGGCGATTTCAATCTTTAAATAATCCAATGTTCAATTTTGTGTAGCTTTTTAATACATTGTGACACAACATCCAACATTTTTTATATTAAAAATAAAATTTCCATTGATAGACAGCAGATTTCCACGACCAAAACGACTCTTCGTCTTCTTTGAAGAGCTAATACACTCCTATCTACTCCTATAGTCAGCCATATTTATAAATAAAAGTTCGTGTTCAATTTCCGCATTCCATTGTTTTCATGCGACCAATCAAATCACTTCTCGTTTTGGTTTTCGCCAGGGCCTCCGGCAACGCAGTGTCAGCCGTGAGGCCCTGGGACCGAGGATGGTCAGAACCGGAAAAAAGCCAAAATTGAAAAATTGCTCAAAAATCACGAAAAACATCAACGTAAATGATGTTGGTCTAGATTGTTAACACTCATAATAAATAGTCCAGCGGAAAAGTAAAAAATCATGCACCTTGTAAAGAAAGCACCCAATTCACGGGAAGTGTAGATTTTAACATGACAATGAATCTTAGATATGGAGGCATCACCTTAAAATTTAGGATTTCTTATATTCTCTTATTAAACTCTATTACTGTTTGAAATTGTGAAATTGCAGGTTCACATATAGCAAAAATGACTTGCATGATTAGAAAGCTTACAAAAAAACTACATATAAGACTTTTAAACGGCTGACTGATTTTCCAAGCGGTTTTCCAGTTATTGCTATTTAAAAACGTGATAAATAGGCAAAAATCCAGCCAAAGTCCTGGACACTAGCCCTAAAACATATTTTCAACCGCTCATAACTCCAGAGGAGTTGGAAAACCAAAGTAACTGCTTAAATGTCTTATATGCAGTTTTTTGTAAGCTTTCTAATGACGCATGTCATTTTTGCTATATGTGAACCTGCAATTTCACAATTTTTAATTGTATAAGAGATTAATAAGGGAATATAAGAAATCCTAAATTTTAAGCCATCAGCATCAATTTTGGTGATGCCTCCATATCTAAGATTCATTATCATGTTAAAGTCTACACTTCCTGTGAATTTGGTGCTTTCTTCATAAAGTGCATGATTTTCTCAAATATCTGTGCATATCCGCTGCACTATAACTGCTTGCAGGAATGATGTATTTGGGAGAATTAGTTGGCGATATATTCTTGAAATAAATTGCGTTGAAATGTGACGCATTTTCTCTCATATTTACAAGATCCGCAAGTATGCTTCATTTCACGGTTTATTTCTCGAGTAGTAAAATGTCTTTGTGGTATTTGTTTAGGTTCCTTAAAAGTATTAAGATTAGTGTAGATTTTAGCATAAAATCTCCGCGGGCAACAATTTTTACCTTTGGAAGAAAACGCCTGAAGGATCCCTAAAATGCGCCTTTTTCTTGAGAGCTATCTCAACTACTTCCGTGAGAAATCTGGTGACGAGTTCTAAAATTTCAAACAAATCCGTGATGATAACAAAAAGAAGTTAATAATACATAATTGTCTTCTTAATTTTAGAAGTGACATGTTTTTGAAAAATCATGTCAATCATAACGCCCTTTAATTAAAACAATATCACCCATATACAGGCCCTGCATGACTCAGTCTGTGTTTTAGCAAACACTGCGTACTTCCCGTTGGAGGAAAGCAAGTTTTTGAGTTCGTTTTTCTTGACAAATTTTAAAGATGACTTTATTTGCACTTTAAAGCTTCCAATTTCAGTTATTAGTGCCTCGAGGAATTTATACACCCACCTTTAGTTAGTAATTTTTCTCAGCAAGTTTTTTTGCTAGAAACCGTACCCTATTACATTTTGATTTGAAGCAACGTAGTTATTTTGTGTTTTGCAATCGTTCGTGGGAAAGTCAACCGAACCGATGAAATTGTAGTGCATGTACACAGATCATATCGCACCCTGCGGAGAAAATATAACTTGCGAGAAATATAGCTTGCAACGAAGCAATTAGGACATTGTTTCATCATGGTTGTTTTTCTTATAATTGAATGTCTAAGAATTCAGTGCCTTTTTTAAGGAATTTTCACTGGGGGGGGGCAAAACAGGAAAAAAAGGCAGAACGAAAAATATGAGCCGTCGATGTTTGGCGAACGCGCGAGTCTGAAGAGAGATTTTGTAAAACTTTAATTTATTAACTTCAGCTATATTTTACTTTAAACATTAACTTCAACTCTTTGTAGCTATGATCGTACAGCTATAACCAGTGACGTAGCCAAACCTTAATTTCGCGGGGGGCGAAAATCACGCCTTCGGTCTAGGAGGGTCCGGGGTCCGGAAAATTTTGAAATCTTGGGTCCCTGAATTGCGATTTCATGCATTTTGGGGGTGAAATCTAGCAGAAAAATCTAAACTAAATCTATTCTTCTTGGAACCATATCTACAACTGCTTTAACGAGATTTCACAAATCAAGTTCCTCCAGTATATCGTCTTTTTCCTCAGTCAAGATGTACTTAATCAGTTTCAGCTTCGATCATGTAACGTGTAACCCCCCCCCCTCCCCCAATTTCTCTACGGATTTAACCTTTCTGAGAGAATGGTTTTTGTGGCGATTGGGGGGGGGGGGTGGGCTCTTAATATAACTTGATATTTTTAAGAAAAAAATTTTGCAATAAAACCTCCCAAAACAAAACGCCTCTGCGGAAGAGAGTGCTAGGAAATAGTCGCAATACTTGGAAAGGCTAGCATTTTATCGGATTGTTTGCATGAAATCTATCGCTATTATGACTAAATATTCTGTGAAGAACAATATGAATTACACACAAGATGGCTGTGGAGGAGGCTATGGAAAGGCATAATCTCATTATCAAGTAAATCAACTGCAATTCTGACAGCAATCATGAGCAATTTTGCTTCGCACTTTGGGGGCAGAAATAGCTTTACTAGGGGGGGGGGCAAATTCTTTCCCTGGGGGGGGGGGCAATTGCCCCCCCCAGATATATAGTTAAAAAAGGCACTGTAAGAATTAGTATTTGTTCGAGAAATCATATCTATGTTTTAACCTGCGGAGGTGTAACATGGGAGATCTCGATCGAAGTATTACCGTACAATAACTAAGTCATATGTAAAAGTATTAATTCGATTTGTGTCATTTAAATGATCCTGGCATGAATTTCGCACAATTCAATTTTCGCTAAGGGAAAATTCACCGGGAAATCATTCATAAAGATAGATCGCACAACAAGTACACAATCTTGCATTGGAACGCTTGTTATTAAACATTTTTGCTAAATTAAAGCAAAAACTTTCCAAATGGACAAGTGTGGAATAGGGAGGTTGATCAGGACTGAGTGTGGTCCGATGTCCTTAAAAGGCTGTGAAGTAAGCGAGTTTCAATCGCTAAATGCGTGCCAACGTCAAGTAACTGGCCATCTAAAATGTTGAACCTCCGTGGAGAGGAAATATCTTCAGAGAAAGAGTTGATATTGTTGAGGGCAGGTGAGTTAGTAAAGTTTCTTTATGGGATTCGCTTCCGCGAATTTTATGGTATGTCCAATACATCGACAACCCTTTGGTATTGGATGGCGAGGGCGGAAAAAGAATTGTCAAGTTCCAACGTCTGTTGCATCCCACCGCTTTAAAGAGCATACTGGCGACCGATCAGTAAATAAGGAAATGTCGGAGAAAATATTCCACCTAACTGCATGGATTGGTAATACCTATCGGTTCAGGTATACGTATACCTTGCGTATCTGGCCGTGGTTTTGAGTTGCAGAATAATACTTGGGTGTGTTGGAAGGGGACGGGAAACACATGAGTCATGCATATCAATCATCTTTGTTTTCTTTGACTTGGTGAAAACATCTCAATCATAAACATCGTAAACATGTCAATCAAGTCCAAAGAATAGTATTTCGCTTCCACAAGACATAACCCACAACAATACTAGTTCATGCATAATTAGCAATTATTGAGGTTAAGCATGATTTAAAGAATTATCAAGGACGAAATTTGACTTATACTGTTGACCTTTATATCACCTACAATGTTGTTTCCACTTTTCTTATATTTACACGTTTCTCTTCTAGGAATCTGTCGACAATGCCGCAAAAAGTTGAGCACAAACGCCACAATCCTGCAGGGTGAACAGTGAGAAGAGGTAAACACTACATACGTGTAGCCACAGGGTAAATACAAGGAAGTACAACAAACAAGGGACACACAGGCTTATAAGCCAAACTAAACCAAGCGGCATTTTTAGCAAGGCTTAACCCAGGGCTGAGATACTGGCTATATGGCAGTTTTCCATATAGAGATTATAAAACAATAGAGTGGGTATTCTGGCAATAATGAGGGACAATTCTTGATGGCAGCAATCTACAGTTGTATACGTGCGAATATGCAGACATCACTAAAGATTTATTTTTTAACTCATTATAGACATCAGATGAAGAACCTCCAGCCATAGAGTTCACTGACGAGCGCAAAATAAACGACGAGACTGTTGCAATTAACGCTCGTTGAAGATCTGGAGAAGCTGTTCACTATACCAGCCTACCTCGTCCCAGGAAGATCAACTTCAGATGACACCAGCAGTCAGGCAATGTGTGGAAGTGGTTCTCACCCACCAGATAAACCAGCTGATGATGGTAAATCTGCCACTACAAAAACATTGGAAATCTGCCACTACAAAAACACAAGATCGCAAGCGTCATTAAGACGGTAGCTCCAGATTCCGCTCCGGAATTGTGGGAAGCAGTAAGGACAAAGGGCAAAGTAACAAATGCCAAGACCTGACAATGGCCTGGTGCAAGTAATAGTAGAATCGTATAAGCTAGCGGAAAAGACAGAGACAAGGAGATAACTTCTTAGCATTATTTGAGCCAGTAAATTAACGTATGTGAGCTTACTGCACACATTCCTAAGCTAACAAAAGATACGAGTTCACTGCGGCAAGACGGTACGCACTTGAAGTTGGTGCAGGACCCCCTGTTTTAGCACCTTCCGTGAAACAAACAAGAGAAAGGGTGGATCCTACAAAGCTAGAAAACTTCCTTGACTTCATAACTTCCTCCAATATAGTACAAGATCTTCCCTTTGGCTGGAGAACTCTTACGTTAAGCAGCTGTGAGAAGATCGATATCATATCCCTAATGTCATACGAATCGAACGATGCTGCCTTCCCATATATCTCATCAGACAATACAACCAGTACTGCAGCGAAGAAGACTTCATTCCACTTTCTACCCGCACCCTCTTTCGTATCTTGTCTGAGGCTTGCGTGGCCTCAGTAAGAAAGAGTTTGGAGGGCTTAGATAGCTATGCAGTGGAGGGCGGGCGTGGTTTTGATGACCTGATTTTCCCTCCTGGATAGATTGATGCAGTATGGTGCTAACGATCCTGAAATACACAAACTAAAGGACAGCCTTAAACATCTCAAACAGTACACCAAAAGTGACTACAAGGTATGTTTCCGAGTATTTTATACCGCCTCTTGATAGAACGTAACCACGTGCCTCTTTTCTCCGCAGATCCATTGTTCCATAGTTAGTTCTGTACCTGACCACTGCAGAGTGTTTGCACTTAGCCGTCCGAAGAAGAAATGCTTCCATCGACGCTGTGACCTCCACCACAATCAACAGTGTGAGAGTTGTGAAATATTGAAAACGGTAAGTTAATAAAATACTAGAAATACATGCATGCAATAACCCCTCGCCTGTTTTCAAAAGATGTATACTCAGTGCCGTTGCGAGCACTTCGTCTCAGGGTGTGTGTGAGGTTAGATAGGGGGGGGGGGGGGTTACAAAAATGTTTCCAGATGCACAAAAAATTTTCAGGACATATAATAATTTTTCCGAAAATACAATTATTTTGCAAATTCACTTTCTCATGTCCTGAGAATTACCTGAATTCCCCTGAAAATCTTCTGCAAATCTACTTAAATTTACCTAAAGGTGCACTGTAAATCTACCTGAAATTCCTCGCGAACAATTATCAGGGGTGTTGCCCCCCCCCCAGTGAGTTTCAAGTAAACACTCTCTGATTTATTGTTCATGTATTTCACCTCCCAAAATATTGTGCATCATACTCTAAAGAGTTTTGCTGTTGTCATGCTCTAGCGTGGTTCAAGTTTATGAATTTTTATTATAATGTATAGTGTTTTATAGAGATTTCGAGCACTGAAATTATTCATGATAATCTCACATGTGAAAATTAACGCTTTTCAATTATCGCTTTTCTGTAAAAATTATCGCTTTTCTGTAAAAATTATCGCTTTTCAAAGACTGTCCTTTATATAATAAACAGAAAAATACATGGGTGGTTGGAAATACCAGATTTATTTTTTGTTTTGAACATGACATCTCACTCGTTCGCTGCGCTCACTTGTGAGATATCATGTTCAACACTCGAAGTAAAGCTGGTATTTCCGCGCACCTATGTATTCTCAGATATTGAAACTACAACTTGACTGGTTTAAATTATTATCAAGTTATCAGTGATTGTAAAAGTTGCAGATAGAAGTGTTTTGTTTTATATTATTATCAAGTTATCAGTGATCGCAAAACCTCCAAATCCTTAATTTCAAAAGCCCCACCGGCGCTAATGCACTTATCATCGGCTTCCCCGGGGGTCGACCCCCGAACCACCCAGGGACTTTTGTTAAGAGGATGAAACAAAACATTACGCTTGAAAGAATTTATTTTATAAATAATTAGGGTAAGATGAAGTTTATACTATTCAAACTGAATGATTCTTAGATATGAGTAATGTCCATGCATGCAATACAGGCATCGATATCTGACGCCTGATGGTGAAGATGGTGTATGATGGTCGAAGTGTGTCAGATGGTGTATGATTGTGTAAGGTGGTTGTACAGGGAAGGGTTGTCAGATGGTGTATGATGGTGTATGATGGTCATGCAAAGTGTGTCAGATGGTTGTCAGATGGTGTATGATGATGTAGGGCATAAACGGATTTTCATATTTATTACTGGGGTGGTGCCAGAAATTTTAGGGGGGTGAGCCGTGAGCAGGTGACTGAAGCAACACAAAGTGTCACAAAACTCTAGTAAGGTCTATATTCTAGGGGTGGAGCACTAGAGCCGCGAGGAGGAGTCTAGAGAGAGGAAAACAAAGTATCCCAGGAAAAATTTGAAAAAAATCATGATTTATAGCTTCAAAAATAAGTTTTTTGAAGTTGTCAATTTGTCATATCAATGGATATGGCATGTGCGATTGTCTGTTGAGACTTGAGTGAGTTAAAGACTTAAAGTTAATTGAACCTGTAAAAGTGTAAACCAATAGGCCAATACACAATATGCTTTTACTTTTATAAAGTCATTGACATTGTGTTGTTTGAATCCGAGTACAATTTATGATGCAACTCCGATGTAAATAATATTTGGGGCGTAAAGATTAAATCTAGGCAAGTCAATTTGCTAAAAGAATTAAAAACTAAAAATATTACCTAAAAACACATAAACTAAAAATATTTTAAACGCCGGGACAAAACCAGATATGTTTGCGGATGATACCCAAATTGCAACATCAAGTGACGATATCAAAGTTATCACTGAAACATTAAATAGGGATTTAAACAATGTTGCATATTGGCTGTCCGCAAACAAATGAACTCTGAACAATAGTAAAACCGAATATATGATAATTGGTTCCAAGAAAAGGCTTAGTCAAGTGACTGCCGATCCTGCTATCAGTATAGGTAACTTAGAAATTAAGAGAGTTGAAATGACAAAACATTGGGCCTAATGATAGACGAGTCTTTAGACTGGACCGCGCAGGTCGAACACATTTCAAAAAAGGTCACTTCAGGCCTTGCTATTCTCAGACGACTCCGGGATACAGTCGAATTTAATACCTTAATAACAGTATACAAATCCATAATTCAACCATATTTCGATTATCGTGCTCAAGTGTGGGGTTGCTTAGGGAAAACATTAGCAGCTAAAGTCCAAAAATTACAAAACAGAGCGTTTTGAATAATCACTCGTGAGAATTATACGGCACGATCGGCTGATATATTAAACAAGCTAAAAGTTCCGAACCTCTAAAAAAGAAGAATGCAACAACTTTCAATTCTCATGTACAAGGTGAAAAACAAATTGGTCCCCGATTACTTGTGTGATATGTTCACAAATGTTGGTGATGTACACGTCCATAGCACAAGACAGTCGGGAGCCGATTTGACATTGCCTAAACCAAAAACAAATAGTATGAAAAATGCATTCTCCTACGAGGTGCGGAAGTCTGGAACTGCCTTCCTGCATCGGTAAAAGCATCAACAACTATTGCTAATTTTAAATCTAACTTGAAGCATGCAAATTAACATCAAGTGATCCTGCCATTGTTTCCATCTACTTAAAATAATTTTCTTGTAATTATTTCTTATTTCTGTTTGCGTGAGCACGGCCGGTTGGAAGATCACCTTTTTTCTTTTCATCCCTTGTACATAATTAATTTTAGTATAGGTGAAATTGTACCGTGTTGAAATATAAGTTCATAATAATAATAATAATAAATAATAATAACCCTGTAGTGTTGGTAAAAATTCCAAAGTTCCTTGTGTGCAAGCTATTTGCATGACAAGGCACTGCAAACTCTATTTAGAGTTTCAAAACTTTACAATTGCTCCAATAAACCAGTGAATGCAAGCGAGGAGCGATTAGTTTCAGAGTGTTGCACTGTCTTTTTCTGTTCGAGTGTACTCCTACGTTTATTTTGTAGCATCAACACTCTGCACGTTGGAGTGGACTATTTAATTATTTCTTTATTATACCTAATATTGGGGGGGTTGAAAATTTGTTTTAGAGGGGTGGACATTTTGTTTGGGGGAGGGGGGGGTTATAGCTAATATTGGAAGGGTAGCACCCCCTTGCACCCCCCAGAAAATCCGTCTATGATGTAGGGTGATTATACAGGGAAGGGTTGTCAGATGAAGATTGTGTATGATGGTCAAAGTGTGTCAGATGGTTGTCAGATAGTTGTCAGATGGTGTACACACCCCCTGAGACGAAGTACATATATTATGGCCAACTATGTATATAAAAATATAATATTATATCTCACATTACGGTTCTCACGTGGGAAACGTAATTCAAAGTATTTAACAGAATATATTTAAACATGTACATTTGACAGACATGTTCGAGGTAATAAATAACAATATAATATGAATATATTATATCTTACATTACGGTTCTCATGTGGGAAACGTAATTCAAAGTATTTGGCTAAATATATTTAAATGCATTTGACAGACATGTTCGAGGTAATAAATAAAAATATAATATAAATATACTTCACCACCTGACAACCGATGGTTATATCTATATTGGACATATATGTTAGATACCACTGACCATATGTGAAACAAAATCCCGCGTGTTTATCCCGGGGGTTAACAGTGCCTGTTACCAAACCCAAACAATTCCCCTTCCCCGAGGGACACTATTTTTTACAAAAGACAACGAATCCCCTCCTGTTCCTGGGGGTTCCCCCTGGGGTGTCCCTGGGGTCGACCCCCGGAGAAGCCGATGATAAGTGCATGCATAAGGTTCGAGTGAAAATACCCAACCCCCGGAATGTGCTTTACAGGAAAATGGCTGGGCGAGGGGGATGGGCACACTTGGATTTGGCTGATGCATTAAAAGTCATGGAAAAAGAAAAAACTTTTCATATTGCTACTATAAAATGGCTTATTGTGCTTATTCCTGTGCTTATTCCAGACTGCTTGTCAAATATTTACTTGCAAGAAGTAGACATTTACTCTGACCACTGGATGAAGAAGACATTAAATAAGTACTGGTCAATAAACAGAAATGTATTTTATTTCATACTATTACAATTTTATTTTTATACTATAAAAATAATATATAAACATGCAGCCTTGGACATGCAGCATAGAATATGCAAATTCGAGGCAAAATTATTGTTGAATCGGTTTATTTATAGGATTTTATAACAAATAGCAACTATAAAAGTTTATACCTTGTCTTCACATCGCTTTATTCGATCTGTTAGGGGCGACGTCCATATTCAAGTTGGCACGCAAAACGTCAAATTGACGTTTTTATGACAACCCACCCATCCACCCTTGAAAACGTCAAGTGTGACGTAATGAATATTTCAAAACTTTGATCGGGTTTGAACGCTCCAACTATCAAAGTTTTATATATACCTTTTAAGATATTCTCTGGGTTAATATTATAAACGTATATAAATATGTAGGAAACAAGAAAGACAAAAATTCTACCAAGTAAGTTCTTCTTTAATATGCAATATTGATAAAATATTGTAAATATATTAACTTTTCCATCGCGTATCGATACTATTTAATAATAATAATAATAGACTTTATTTAAAGAAGGTATTACAAAAACCAGTTTAGCAAAGCTAATCTTACACTGGGCCTTCTATAACTACGACTATTAACAAACAAACAAATATATTAGGTAACGTGGGGAAAAATATATATGGTATATATACGATAGATTAGAGATTACATATGACTACGTTTAAACTGTTTTTAAAAAGTATTGATATGTTCTTATTTTGAATGATGCAACCGAAGAAGAGTTTCTTATCTCAAGTGGTAAACTATTGTAAAGTGTTGCACCACTGTATGGTAGTGCCTTTCGTCTGATTGCCAATTTATTCCTTGATACCCACAAATCATTGTCCGCGGAGAACTTCTGGTGAGTCGATTAGTCACTGATAACTTCAGTTGAAATAAGTCACAAATGTATTCCGGTACCAATTGGTTTCGAGCCTTGAATACCATAATCGCGGTTCGTAGCTTGACTCTTTGTTGTATAGGTAATATTTTAGCTGCTTTAAATAGTGATCCAGATGATGTTAGTCTTGGTGATCATAAACAATTCTCATTGCCAGGGACGCCGGAACTGGGGTGGCTTGCAACTAACGATGAACAGTGGCTCATAAAAACATTCGCGTGATTAGAATCTTCAATGTTTGTCAAGAACAACAACACTTAATTGTTGTTTCCAATGTGTACAATAATAAGTAAAAAAAACTTTGTGTGGTCTGAACGTGTTGGGCTAGAGACCTACTGGAAACCTTTGCAGGCTTTTTACTGTAATGAGAATAGAGAATGTTTTATCTGCAACTGTCCACCTTTAGTTGCAACCGACGGTATTTGACAGCATAAAATTGCCTGTGGTTGTGATAACTGATATAAATAGAATACAGTCTGGTTATACCGACTTGAGCGTGTCATGACAAACTCTTTATTGGAAAATTGCTCGGAAAATTGTGAAGAAACAGTCGAACATAGAGGGTCGAATATCATACTTCAACTTGTATAGCTACAGTAACATTGGTACATAGCGTTGTGAAGACAAGCCTTTTCTTACTTTTCGCTTCAGCAGTCTTTTCCATGCTTCTCTACGCTTTCCCAATAATTCTCAGGCGAGGTTCTCTTTCCTCGGCAGTCTCCTCGAGCAAACGTTGTCGTCTTCGCTCCCTTCTTTTCGCTAGACGCTCTGCATTCTTGTCGTTTCCTTGCCGCCCTTCATGGCTCCATATCTTTTCAATTGGTATTTGATACTGTAATTGTTTGATAAAAGTTTTAATAAAACTAATTGCTTTTAAAGCTGCCAAATGTTTTTGCAAATGTACAAAAAACTGTAGCGCAAAAAGCAAAATACTTTCATGAAGTATCTGTCAGTTAAAGTCGTCATTCGTCATACAACAACAAATTTTAAATTTGACCAATCGGTGTTCGCTATTCATGACAGTCCGCCATATTTTTGAGATCAGTGAGGATGACCACCCACGGTTGGTGACCCACGCCCGCGATATTTGATGAACTTCAGACTTCCCTAATGCTTTCGTTTCCCCTGGTGTAAATAGCCGGGTGGAATTAATAACCTCGCACGGCGCTTCGCGCCGCCGGCTCGGGGACTATTGGAAATCAATGGAATATAATTCGGTTAATTACATATTGTGTCTATACAATGTGCAATGGTATAGCATGCTGATATTGCTAAGGAGAAAATTGTCCTTGAATATGACACATCACCGAAGCTCTCAGATGTTACAGAAAATGTAACTTTATTAATTTTAAGGTTACAGGACACCCTTTTTGGCGTTTTGCGGAAAATCGCTGCTGCGCTCTCAATATCAGTCCAATTTTCATCAAATTTTCACCAAATGTTCTCCAGTGCATGCGAAATATGGTAAAGTTGTAAAATTAACAAACAATAAAATAATGTAAGAATTATTCAGGAAAATCTTAAATCGCGGTAGCGTTACGCTTTTGAGTTGTGCTCCTGCCGGTTTTAAGTTATATTTATGAAAATATCATTTTTATACAGTAAAATAGTTGTTCTAAAAAACTGTTTTTCGGAAATTTTTGTTTATTTCGACATTCCGCTGATATGGCGATTTCTTTGACGACTCCAATATATTTCTGAATTGTTTGAGTGAATTGCTCTTTATTTTTACCGGCGAAATTAAAAAAAAACGAAAACAAGTTTGAAACTGACGTCTTTAGCTATGTCCTGTGAAACTTTGAGAAATATTGGTTAAAACCCGCAGGAGCACAACTCGTTTGAAAATCAGTAATTACCGTAAACTTTTTCGGGAGAAAATTGAATTTGAATATTACATTTTCAATGTGTTTCTTATTGCAGCGAAATGTATTTTATTAAATAACTCCGCGAGTTTTCAACATTTTTCGTTCAAACTTGGTCAGATAGTAGAACTGGTCTAATGCTTTCATGGAAACCAATAAAAAAATTTTAGGCAAAATTAACATTCAAAGGTGTTCTGTAATCTTAAAAAAATGTTCTCGTTTTCCTTAGTCTTTAGATTTAGTTAAGTCCTTCATGCAGTCTACTAACCTACCCGAAGACGTGCAGGATGATGCTCTATTTACAGCGAGAACCGCGCGTGATGCTGTTCTGTCCCACCAGCTCCGCATGGTCCACCAGGACGTAGCCAGGTCGGATGTTATCGACAGTCTTGGTGAAGATTCCACGCTAATCACGCAAGACTTTGCCATGAAGTTCTTACCAGCCGAGTACCGAGAGCCACAGGCCGAATTCTTTGGGAAAAGAGGGATTTCGTGGCACCCAAAGTGGACGAAGCACCCACGGCTTGCCAAAGCAACAAAGGCGGTGAGATGGTCGCGCAAACGTTCGTTCACATAATTGAATCTGGTGTGCAGGATAGCAATACAGTAGTGAGCGTGATGGAACATGTCCTGCAAACCCTGAAGTGCGAAAATCCTACCTTGAATAAATATTCCTACCTTGAATAAAAATAAAATACAGTCAATTTACATGCAATTTGTTTGCGAAATTTGCTTTAGAAAACGCCAGAAATTCAGTCCTAGAGCTTCAAAAATGTAAATATTTTCTGGGGGAGGACCCCCAGACCCCCCCTTTCTCCCAAAACTTAGCATGAGAGTGCCAATCATTTACAAAAAGCTTTATTATAATTATTACACGTATAATCCTCTGACACCCCCCGCAAACGTCAGATGCTTTGCTACGTCCCTGATGGTTGTATTCGAAACCGATTTCAGTTTTAAGATATCCTTAGTCTGCTTTTCTAAATGGATACATGAAATCACCTATAGCTTATTTTAAATTTTGGCGCCAGGTTTGTGAAGTAATTTACGCGCCAAAAAGTAGCAGTTCCAAAGACAAAAAAGCATATACGATTTGCAAGAATGATATGTTCTATGTTTATGGGATATTTCGTACAAACGGGATGGAAATTAAAGAAATTGAAGCATACTGGCACTTTTGCATGCATTTTTGACAGGCATGCAAAGACGTTTGCAACAGATGCCGGGAGATACGTTGGGTGGGGGCGACATACTGTAAGGTTCCAGCAGATTACCCTGATCCAGGAAATCCTGGCCACTACATAAACGTGTCCAAGACTCCGAATACGCTGAATGATGGACAACAACAACCTGTTAATAATTTCACCCCTAGAGCCAATTTGAAATGTTTTAAAGACGGTGCCATTTCATCTGGCGCTAATGAGGTGAAAAAAGCAGCAGATCGGTAGTTTTGTTGAGGAGAAGTACATGCTTGAGTATATCAGACATGTTGAGGAACTGCAAATTGTATCTATGATAAGAGAGAATTCCGGATTGTACTCCTTCGATTCCGAATTCTAGAGGAATTGAAAATTTTAAAAACTTGGAAGGGGGCATCGAAATTTACCGATAACCTCACAGGGGCCCTGTAAAAATATGAGCTTTTTTCAAAACATCTTCATCCCCCTCCCTCGGTGTAATAAATGTACTTTCCCTTACTTCACCAATGAACTCATCTGATGGGTCGTCTTTTAAGCACGTTAAAACATGAGCAGCTGATGTTTATCTTATACAAACTCTCGCCATTGTCCCCAATTTTAATAATATACTCTAATGTGACTCGCTTGAACAAATTATAGTAGGTCAAATATAAAACAACGGTAAATCCGAAAATAATAAAAAAAAAAATTTCGGAGTTACCGTTGTTCTATATTATATTAAAATACTCAGTGGTTCCCGTAATAGTAGGTCTCATTTTGTTTCCGGTTTGTTCCTGCAACATCAAATGTTCCTAGCAACAGTCAACCAGCATCAGTGGATAATATTTCGGCCGTTTCACTCCCCTCTTTATTTTTTATTATTTCTCCGCCTTATTTTAAATTTCGGATCTTTCTCGGTCGCCCTTCGGAGTATCGTCGTGTAACATAAATTAATGTCAAAGATAAACATAAATTATTGCGCCTGCGATAAGCTAATAATATATACCGCTTTCAACATTCAAAATGGCGCCCGATGAAAATTGAAACATTTACATGTAATTAAAAGGTTAGTATAAATTTACACAAATATTTCTGGCTTGCTCCCTTGCGCCATCTTGAAAACATTTATAGAGAAGTTAAGATACCCCGGTTTCGGTGTACGGGTACGAGTAGTGTCATCTTGTTTTACTGATGTCTGTAATTCGATCATACTTTTTCTGTTTTCTTGCAATAGACAATGATACAATGCGAAAAATGTGCACCTTAATTACGAGTAAAAGTACAGGCATCGACGAAAATATTGCTAACCAAAATTATGCTACCCGTACCCGTACACCGAAACCGGGGTATCTTAACCTCTCTAATACCGGCAGGCGCTCTCGCCTGTAACCCGCATTTTCCAAACCTGCCCGAAATGCTCCCTAAGCGCCTGCACAGGAGGTAGCTACTTTCATACAAAATCAACTCAGTGGCGTAACTCCTATGAGCTCTACCCGGTAAGAGCCAGGGGCACCCAGGCAATCGGGCTTCCAGGGAGGCACTCTGAACTGAGTTGTCCGGCGGCCTTGTTTATATAATTTCCGTTTCGTAAAGTTATTAAAAACTTTTGAGATTCAGATTTTCTGTATCAACTGCACCAGCACAGTTGGTATGTAACGTGACTCCAGAAGTTCAAGCGAAACTAAGACAAAGTACAAATGAACAATGGAAAGTCTTCGGAGCCAATGGTAGTGAAGAAGTACACGACGTGTTTCGACAGACAGAACTGACAAACAACCGATCTTGTGTTCATGTGGTTTATTCAGAATGGCTTCTACTTGCCAGGATATATTTCCAATTTAGAAGGAATTTGTGTATATTTATTTCCAATTTAGAAGGAATTTGTGTATATATATATATTTCCAATTTAGAAGGAATTTGAATCAGTGTAATCTAATAATCATGAAATTTGCTGTGTTGCAACACAGCAAATTTCATGATTATTACATTACACTGATATCGAAGGAACTATAGACTCAGTTCGGGGAAATATCGCATTCTCGCACCGACCTGACCGCGTAGCTCAGTTGGCTGAGCATTGGGCTAGTATTCCAAATGTCGTAGGTTCGAATCCCACCGTGGCCAGGCATGTTTTTCAAGCCTGCCCGGTGTGGATATACACTCAGAGTAACATCACACAAGCATCTCAATTCACCTGAGTACATTGCACCAACACAGCAAATTTCATGATTATTAGATTACACTGATATCGAAGGAACTAGACTCAGTTCCGAAATATCGCATTCTCGAAACGAGCTGACCGCGTAGCTCAGTTGGCAGAGCATTGGGCTAGTATTCCAAAGGTCGTAGGTTCGAATCCCCCCGTGGCCAGGCATATTTTTCAAGTCTGTCCTGTGTGGATATACACTCAGAGTAACATCACACAAGCATCTTATTCACTATAGTACATTACTCCAACACAGCAAATTTCATTATATATTCTTGCCTTTGCTTTAGTCAATATTACTTCCATAAACATTAACACGCAAGTATTCAATGAGACGCACATGTTTAATTTTTTTAGTTTTTTTATCATTATTTTTTCTTGTAATAAAAATGGCGCTTGCTATTTCATTTGCCTTGCGAGACATGGCGCTTGCCATGATCTCAATAGAGGCAGAGGAGGCAAGAAAGCTTTCCGTTGACAAAATAATCGATGAGTTTGCTGAAAAAAGACCAGGTGGGAGAAATTTGAAATGTATTGTTACATTTAATTGAAGATGTATGTGCATAATTACAGTGGCAAACATTTCACTCTTTATGTCAAAAACAATTTCCACATAGTGCTATTTTAAAGTTGTGTTTTATATATTTTGCTATATATATTTCCAGTTTAAAAAATCCATTAAAATTGGCTTCTAAACGACTAGCAAAATGTTCGTATTGTCAGAGCTTTATCTTCAAAAAGATCTATGATCCCCAACCTTGGGGGCACCCAATCCCGCGGTAGGACCTGGGGCAGCCTGGTCTAAACTTACGCCACTGAATCAACTCAAAATATACAATAATTACTGTTACTGGGCGAATATTCTCAGGAAATTTGAAGAAATGAAGCAGCTACATTGTGAAGCGTACAGAAGTTAGTTTTAAAATACCTTGAGGCTAAATACTTTTATAATTATATGAATTAAAATAACATTATATTATTGAGTCATTGTTTATAAGGCCTGTTCTAAACGTCGGATTTTACATGTGCCGAATGCATTCAAAACATTCACATAATCAGCTGAAAAGCCTCATTATCCATTGAATGCGACGTTAAGAACAGGCTTAATTTGGATTAAAAATATTTGATTGTCACTTCTACTTTAAAACATATAAAACTTCTCGACAAGGCGCCGAGGAATGCTCTTGACAAAATTGATATTTAAAACTGTATAAATTCATAATCTTTTGTTCACAATGTAGCTGCTTCATTTCTTCAAATTTCCTGAGAAAATTCGTCCAGTAACAGTAATTCCTGTATATTTTGAGTTGATTTTGTATGAAGGTAGCAAAACGAGCTCGTGTTGATAAGGCCACTAGAAGTTAATAATTAGTTTCTGGTCCGTCTTTACCTTCATTTATAACGCGGGCGGGCGGGTAGTTAGGACTATAGGACATAATTACAATTGTGGCTTTGCCTACATTTTTGCCGTCCTTTTTTTCCTAATGCTTCAGTCATTTGAAACCACGGACCCCCCACCCCCGGGACATAACGGTGGATTAGCCGGGATTTAACGCTATTTAACAATGTGCTATGCCCCGGAGGGCGGTGGAATTAACAAAATGTTTTTATAACCGGGGAATTGACCCGGGATATAAGGGACCGGTCATAAAGGAAAGGGGGGGCATGGAAAATCATATATTTCGTGTCTGCACTTTTGGTAGCCCGCCCTTTAATAGCTGCACGAAAATTTGTGGTCCACTCTTAAATTGGTGTTGAAAAATTATGACCCACCCTTTCAGAAACGCGAAAGATACCAGTGTTCTGTTTTTCTGCTGCCAAATATTTCTGTGTTACAATACTCAATAGCTATTCAAGTAGTGCAATTAAAATTCAGGGCCTCTTTTAAGGATGTGTAACTGGAGGGGGGGGGGGGGGGGGAGGCTGGAGAGGTTCCAGTCGGCAAGTCTTTATCACTGCAGCTAGCAGCATATATATGCATGGTTTAACTAATAACTGTACGTCATAGGGCAGCCGATCAGGCCGTAACTACGATTCTGAGACAACCGAGTCGATCACCCAAGGTGCAAGCTTCTAGAGGGGTCTGGGGCATACCCTACATAAAATTTTGAATTTCTTGAAGCTCAGATAAGCTATTTCCGGTATTTTGAGGAGTTTTCCAACAAGAAATGAATCTTATTAACAGTGACACAATTACTGCAATTTCACAGTCTCCCAAATGTAATCCAGTCCCAATAAGGCAACATGGTGTGATCACAGAGTAGATAAGACATACAGAGGCGTAACTGACCGTTGTAAACACTGCGGAAGATTACGTTATCATGTACCCACTTTTTTTCAGGCGACCGGGCGAAAAATTACCAACTGCGCGTGCTCAGCAAGTTTAAAGTGAGTTGTCATCAGGTCGTCATCCAATCAGATGTATGCATCTAGTAACTTGCCGAGCATGCGCACAAAAAAAGTGGGTACACTAGTTACGTCTCTGTATGTCTCTAATCTGTGGTTGGATGGTGCGGTAATTAACGTGACGTGATGGGACGTGGCCGCGTGTGGTCACGCACAAAAGTGCTCTGCGTTTTTACGCATTTTAAACTGATTTCTGCACTTCCTTTAAACAAATACCATTTCAAGTGTTCCGTAAGACTTTCGTTCGAAGGAATCTGAAGTTTGTATAAAGTTTTTGTTTGTTTCTGTGTTGTTTTCGTGGACTTTTCTCATTTGTTTTATCGAAATTGGATTTTATAATTGTCAGTTACTCTATATACTTCAGTCAATACGCCACGAGTATGCTGACGACGGTGCGCAAATTTAAACGACGTCGGAACAAAATTGCGTGCGTATCGAACATTTATGGAATAGATATTGGAAACACTTGGAATATTTTCGACTGGATAAAGAATGGCGTGAACTGCTTTATGCTTCTTATGACAATTCTGTGGTTGTGCTTTAAACTGAAACCATCGTACGTTCCTGTCGAAACAACGTTAAATGGCATTGTTATTCATTCTGAACTTGCAATTTTACCTGACAAACTGTGTTGTGTTTGGACTGCTACTCCAGATTTAAAACAAAGAAAATTCAACTATCATTTAAATTATCAATACGGAATAAATCTACAAATTGACCGTAAACCATCTCATGTTGTTTTATTAATTTTACTGGCTGGTGATGTGGCGACAAACCCTGGTCCCCGTACTTCTTCAACTAGCAATCGAACAGTAAAAAGTCTTTCTCTTAACGCAAGAAGTCTAACAAGCTTACATAGAACAAACAACAGTCATGAAGGTAAACGCAGTAACATGGAACTCGTCCAGAATTTGGTGTACTCCGAGGACAGTGATATTATTTTTGTGAATGAAACTTGGCTAAAGAAAGACATCTACGATCTTGAAATTCTGCACTCAGGTTATTCTATTTTTAGGAATGATCGAAAAACTCGCGGTGGTGGTGTACTATTAGGCGTAGAAACATCTTCCTTTAAATCTGTGCATGAACTGATTAAACACAATTATGACCTAGAAATCATCTTCACTGAAATAACAACAGCTATACAAACATGAAAATAATGCTGGGTTCCTGCTATCGTCCAAATGAAGATCAGACTTGGATAGAACGTTTCAACAACTTTCTTGATGATATTTGTTCAAGTCACCAACACATTGTTCTCGCAGGGGATTTTAATCTTCCGCAAATTTCATGGAATACACCAGAACAAACGACAAGTTTCTCTGAGAATGCTTTTATTGAACTACTTAATAACTATTTTATGGTTTAACTCAACAACACCGCAACTAGAGAAAATAACGTTCTCGATCTCGTTATCACAAACATTCCGGAACTGGTTAATATTAGCGAAATTTTGTCTCCTGCTGAAGCAGATATCCTTACTGATCACAGTGTAATCAGTTTTGACTTTTTTGTTCACCCCAAACGCTTGCCCAAAAACTAACAGGACGGTATATGATTATCGGCGAGGAGATTTCACAGCTCTTAGATCTGCTCTTCGAGTCTTTAAGAGCGTCTGCCTGTAAAAACCGAGAATCTCAAGTCAAATGAAAATATTCGAATTTTTTTTTATTTCACCAAATCAACCCATTTAGTGTTCCTACAATGGAAAAAAATACTAAAAAGCTTCTGCGATTTTTTTTTCGTAAAATTTTTACAAAATCCTGATTTCGCGGGGAATGAGTTAATTTTCATGCTCGAACCGGCTGACATTTAACCCAACTTTATGAAAGGACTGGCGGATAAATATGAAACCGATGAACTCCATATTTCTAACATGTTTCAAGGTACTATTAAGGTTTGCTATCTGACTCTTATTACGATCCTAAATTTAATTGTTATTTTATTATGAATTTTTTAAGGGACCTCTTTTCGAAGCCTCGCAAACTATACGAAAAATGGCTAAGTTTAATGGGTATAAAACGTTCCTGGTACCTAAAAGTTTGAAACAAAAATTACAGCATCTAAAAGCCTGATTATTGCTTGCTATACCACAAACGTTTCATGCTTGGAATCGAAGCGGTTTTGTATTTACAGATAAAAGTGTGAAGTAAGGTATACCCCAATTAGGACGTCACGCCAACCGGCACGTACTAGTTGACAGACGTTTAGCCATGGAAAAAAATGATAGTTAAAACATTGTTGAGAATTAAAGTGCCTCTAACACAATTTTTTTTATTTATTCTATGGACTCTACTGTTTATTTGTAATGTCTTCGTGCAAAAATTTTTCAATTTGAATGAATCGTCTAAATTTTATGGCGCGTTTAATGTGGCATAGCGTGGCAGGCGGCCGTCGTAGTCGGGAAACTGGGACTAGCAATTTTTCTGACGTCACGCAAGGTAGTCGGTATTTTGCTTTGATCATCTTCGATCTTGCGCATTCCTGTTTGAAAATCACAGTTCGGCACACTACGACTACATCTCAGGACAAAACATAAAATTTTACAGAGAAAATTTCGCGATTATGTCCGGTCAGGAGTCCGATTCGGGGAGCAGTTGTCAGTATAGTGATGACTCCGACATAAACTTTATTCCGGGTTATGTAATGGAGGATGCACAGGCCGAGAAAGACTGTGATTCTGGCGAAGACGAAGGTTGTTCAGGCTTCGCATATGCCGAAGAACCTTTAGCTGACGAAGCCTGGTTAGAAACGTACCACAGAGAAGAACAGCAAAGGCTAGAGGCCGAGGAACAGTTTACGAAAAGGCTAAATTGTTCGGTGGAAATAAGCGAATGGTAAGTAAAATCTGAATTTACAGTAATTTCACTGAGTATAAATTTTCCTATACTGTACCGTATAAAAGCCAATTTGTGTGTTGTGATCATGTGTAGCATATTTTTTAATATATGTACAGGTGCAAATGTGGAAATTGTGGAGTAGAGCTCCTTGCTAATATACATGAATGCTGCTGTGAGCTGGAAGCCTGTGATGAAGCACTGAAAAACAATGAAGTTCTCGAAGACCTGAAGGCCGAAGGGAAAGACATCGAATTAATAAAATGCATCACACAACACCCAGGTTTTGATTCTGTCTGCTTACAAAAATGGAGTTTAAAATTAGCTGCGGACAAGTACAAAACCAGGTCCAAATCAAGATACAGTCAGGTCAAAACGCAGAACAGGTAAGGTGAAAAAAAAAATTTCAAGGACTAGATATTTCATACATGGCAAAACTATTTTATTTTATATAGCTGTATAAAAGTTTCAAATGCCACCAAATTTAAAAGTCCCCAAGTTGTTTCTATTTTCTAATGTTACACACAGTGATTTGTCATTTGTGCAGCTGTAGCTATAAAATTGGCCTGACTAGACAAATTGCTTTGTGGAAAATATGACAAGATGGGCTGGGAAGAAAAGAAAAATAATATTGAAAAAAATAAATAAAATTGTTTTGAATCAGTGGAAAAGCAAGGTTGCCGATCATCTTGAAATATATCTGACAATTGTCTCAAAAACACGCTTACTGAACATATACTGTAAACAAATATCTTACTGATAAGCCAGATCCTGTTTTGATATTAAATTAACCCATTGAGTGGTATTGTGCCCTATTTTATTATTTTAGTTTGTCTAATGCCAGATGATTTTACTTGACAAGGGGAGAGCACTGGTGCTTAATGGGTTAATTGTGGTCTTCTATATTTAGATTCCTGCGCAGTATCTCGTATAGAGAATTTGTCAGGCTGGTTTATGGCTTTCTTGGCAACAGGAGGGTACCACTGCCATCATGTGCCTACACTGCTATTAGGAAAGCATTTCCAACTGGTAGGGATGAAGCTATCACCGGATATGCTGAAGAATCTGACTGATTTATTGACTAAATGTATGAAAGTTTCAATAAAAATTTGTTCATAAAAAGTTGTGCACCCTTGTTATACTGTGTCACAAAGTACACAACATAGGGTTATAGGTGTCAATGGGGACGAGAGTACTGTTCCTTTCCCCTGTCACGAATTGTCTAACTTGTCTTATTTATCTGTAATTAGTTTGTAACATGTACATAGTGACAAATTCATTATATTATATTATTATTATTAAATTAACATGCACTTTAATTGGTCGTTCCAGAAAAGATCCATACTCCCCCCACGGAGGAAATTTCTGCCGTCCGGAGGGGGAAAAAAATTGTTTCTGATAATAGTAAACATATTAGGACATCCGAAGGGGGTAGGGAGGTTAACTTCCTATTTCCTCCATGGGGGTGGTATGGATGTTTTCTGGAATGACCCATTAATAGTTTAATTCACTTCTAAAAAAAACCCTTTATTTTACAATATGAATAATAGTATGATACAGTAATATCTGGGTTTCTCCCAAAACCTTTACGATTTCTGATTTCTCGGACATTCCTTCACTTTTTTATGTCCTTTCATGGGGTTCTTGCATGTTTTGCAATACCGAACAATGGTGTTTTTTTTCGTTTTACTTGCTTGTGCCAGAACTTCTGATACTATATCAAATAATTTAAAACTTTAGCATATGTTTGTTTTTAGACAAGTCATAAATGCTATAGGAAGTATGGTAAGATATTGATTCAATCACAAAAGCCTGATAAAGATAAAAGACTTTCTTAGTGGAGACCCTTTTGTAATACCAAACTAAACTCCTCCCCTCCTCCATTTAATAATTCCTTTGTGGAAGTTACCCCAGAGGATGCCTTACTAACCCCTTTAGTGATATAACCACCACACCCATCGGATATCCAGACCCTTCAATTGGGGGGGGGCAGTGCACATATTAAATGGATGGCCTAATTTATTCGGAGAAGCTATGTTGTAAGTGTATTGTACCTGGAGTAGTTGGTGGAACATCTTTCACAACCATTTCACTTCGGTCAGCTCGTTTCTTCAATGCCTCTGCCTTTGCTTGCTTATTGAACACAGAGTCCATTGGCGCAGGAGACATTTCTTTAAGTTTTATAGCAGCATCTTTCAGTTCCTTTTTGCCAGCCATCAGATACGTCAGGTAAATTTCTTGCACATATGCTGAAAAAAATGCCGCAATTCATTTCTCAAGACCAAAAACCCCATAATACTTGAAAATAAAAACAAAACTTACAAAAGTTCTGTGCAACTTTAACACTCCTAATTGTTGCTTCACCATTCTTGTATTTTGGGTAGGTGAATTTGACTCTTCCAGTGTTGTCATCCTTTTTGGTTTTGTCATCTCGATGTAGGTTGGCATTGAAATGAATGACGGCAAGAATATGTCTGAGAACAAAGCAGAAACATGTTTAATTAAAGGGGCCTACAGTTTTTTTTTGTTTTGCTTTGCCACCTTAAGTATTGTTTACATTTTTTGCTTCGTTTCATTGTTATTACATGACGTTTGCAATTATTAGTGAACTTTATGGCTTAACTACAAAATGACTACATGATTGTATTTGATCCTGTTTATATTTACAGGCAGCAAATGTAAAACAAAGATCTTCTTTATATATATATATTGACTACTACCTGCAGTATTGTCCTGCATAGAAGTATGCTATCATCTTGGGAGCAAATTGATTTAAGACACTGTGAAATCCCTCAAGGCAACTTGTCTGGTCTAATGGTGAAGCCTGTTGAATGCCTTTTATCAGTCTTTGGTTGGTAAGTGCAGCAGAGACTTTCTCATAGAGCTGTGAATCTATAAAATAGGATTTAAAAAGCAAGCATGCATCACCTCTCCACTCAAGGGTAATATCACAAGCAATATACTGTACAGCTACATAACAGTATTATAACCAGTTATGTTTACCAGGTTTTAACCACTTTCTGGCTGGAATGTCACTGCCATGTGCACACTTGTTGAACAGTGGATCACTGTGATCAGAGTGCTTGTTCACAACATGTCGTAGAAATGATCGAAATTTTGCCGATATGACCAACCCATTGCCATCGAATGTTGATGTTGCACTCCATTGCAGATGGTTTTCGCATGGTTTAATCCAGTCATTTAGGGCTTCGCAATCTTTTTCTTTGGCAATCTTTGACAACACTTTTCGTATTTCTTAATAACAGATAAAGATCTCGATACAAAATATATTTAAAAGATACAACTGTCAAAATATTAGTCAATTAGCCTTTCTCATGCCGCCATTTTATTTTTGGGTTGGCTTTTCAGCCGAAGTCTGCAAGATAAGTCTGCATAACAGACTATTTATAATTTTTTTGAAAAATTATGGTAAATTTGCTTTGTAAATGGTTAATTTATTTTGAAAAATTGCTTTTTACATTATTTTAATTGTCTGCATTGGTTAACGACAATTAGATGCCAAAAATGGCAGATATTCGTAAAAAATGGCAGATATTCGTCATTGTGAGAAAGACTAATTTACCACTGCATATGACACTAAATGGGGATTAGGTCCACTGCTATCCTGAACATTAGATGGTCTTCTAGTACAATGGAAATTGTGAGTTTACTGTACTTACTTTTCTTCAAGTGCCAAATATCAAAATAGTGAGTAATCTTGGACAACACTGATCTCATGTATTTAGCAACTGATGTGTGTCTGTCTGAGATGAAAGTTGTAATGGCCAGCCCTTTCTTGATAAGATAGTCCATGCATGATTTAAATGACATAAATTCCATTGCAGGACTGCTTCCTGCCTGATTTCTCTGCAATAAAACAATAGGAAACAACAACTAAGCTGTATATGTTGCAATTCTCCAACCCACATACAATGAGTTCAGTGAATCATCAATCAGCTTACCTGTACAAGATCAAAATGTATGATCTTCCCCAAAGTGCAACAAAACATTGTGTACGCACAGAACTTTGCAGAGTGCCCCATACTGTCGTGGCGGCCATCTCCTGCCAACACCACACCTCCCTTGATATTTCTAGCTGTCTCTATCAACATGTTCTGGTATTTTCTCCAGTGAAGATAAATAGTTGGAAATAGCATAGTCTAAAACAAATTATTACACATAGAACATACAGTTAGTCCACCCTCAATCACATAATGTTTTGTGTGTGTGGGGGGGGGGGGCAACATGAAGAGTTAGGGTAATAAGCTCAATATGTGAGTCTTTCCTAAAAATGTTTGTGAATGTTCTATATGTACAAACCCTTTGGTAACGAAAATATGTGTTCAAAGAAACACATCCAAGGCCCATGTGCAAAAATACTTGTCGTGCTTTTGATATGGAACTACCAGCAAGTAGAACAGCCATACACAAAAGAAAATTCCCAGCTGAGATTTTTGTTCCAGGCATCATGGGTTGGCTATGCCAAGTCGTTATCTTTTTGGGGCACTTTGGATTGCTGCAAATGGTTGTGACGACAGCCTTGGTACCGACTTCTCTTGTTTCAATGAGAGGATTGTCAGTTTTGCAGGAATGGCAAAAACTGAACAATAATAGGAGCTGTGATAAAAACACAATGTGTTTTGGCTCGGTTCGTAGGTTGTCTTTCTCCATTGTCAATAGCCTATCACAATGACCAAAAATATTTTATCAGAATGTATACCACTATGTATGTGAATTATTAAGCTGCAGAGTTTCCCCATTGACGAGTAAAATCGTCTGGCGACTCAGACAAGCAAAAAAATAAATAAGTAGGCTGCACTGGTGCGCATTGCGGCTTAATGGGCTAACTAGAGACATTGTTTGATTTTTTGGTTAACCCATTAAGCTGCAGATATTCCCTATTGGGGTGCATTGCGGCTCAATGGGTTAACATTAATAAAAATAAATGTCATCTGTAGCATGGCATTTAGGACTGGCTGGGCAATACTAAGCATACTATTAAATTTGATATTGGCATTACATAATTACTAAAAAGCACTGAATGATTATCTTACTCTGATTCGTCATCTGATTCATCAAGCTCGGAGTCTCCATGTCCACCATCATCTTCCATCTCATAATGTGGGTCAGTCGTGTCCTCATGATCATTTTCTTCAACTGTCTCATTCTCAGATTCCTCGCTTACATCTTCCATTGATTCCTGGTCATTTGGTTGGTGATGAACATGTTGTCTCAGCTTGGTGACCTCGTTGATGACTACACAACAGAGAAAGAAATCTGAATTTCACTAATCCTGTAGCCAAAAGTACTGGTCTACACAGAGTTACAAGTTACGTAGAATACAAATGTTATTTTTTACCTTTTCGTTTCATTTGCCTCAATTTATTGTTTTTTTCCTTCACACTGGCTTGCAGGCTTATCACTTGATTTTTAAGTCTACGGTTCTTTTCGGCCAACTTCTCTAGGTCATTCCTCGGGGTGCTCATTCCTATTAATGATGTATCGCTGTCTGCCATTGCTATTACCTAAAGAAATATTTTGCAAAGAAATATTGTAAAAGAGTATTCCTTCATGAAAATGAATGACTCAGTGAATGCAATATCAATCTTAGACCCTACATTGTCAATATCGCTTGTTTGACTTCCTTCGGGTGTTTCAGGCTCTGGAAGTTCTTGCCTCTGTTTTTTTCGTCCTTCGTTTGGAGGTGTAGGCAACAGTTTTCGCTTTGCTGGTGGTGTTGGTTTGGCATTTGCTTGTAGACTCTGGTCTGGGGCTTCGTGAACATTTCTCATCACCTGTAATTAGTAATATCAAACATTTTATCAGATATTGAAAGTTTTGTGTTCAAGTGATACACTTTTCGAGATGTAGATTACATTGCATACTGTATATTACTTTATATTCCGTTAGGAAAGCAATATATGTCATTTAGAATACCCCAACGCTAACACTGTTGATAGGATGTGAGGAATATGTAAATTTGAATCTTTTCCGCATGTATTGATATTTATAATGCGTATCCTCTAATATTTTCGTCGCTAACAAATCGGTAGCAAAGCTGCCTAATGTGATTCTAATTCGTGCATGTTCGTCGTAGACGTAGAGTATTTGGCAAATGCGATATATTTTAGCGCATTGTGTTTGGCGCAATTTGGCGCGGATTTCCGCCAAGAAATTTATATCACATTCATACACAAAGATATTTAAACCAATCTCGCCAAGCAGATTTGTTTGGCGGAACACCACTAATACTCCTCGAACGAAAAGTCTAAACATAAATGAATGTTCATTATACAAAGGGAAACGTGCGTAAATATATGGCATCAACAAAATATGGACTTACCATCCTTTTACTCCTAGCACTCAATACGTCCGACTGTTCCTGTTTCGCCGAAACTTTCGGTGCTGCCTGTATTGTAGGAAAGACACAAATCCCGATTTCGTCGATTCTCAACTTCTGATAATTTGGTTTCGTTTGCCCAGGCAACATATGAAACCGTCTTTCGAAGTCCTCAGGCTTGAAATGAGCCGAGCACAGTGTTGAACTTTTCGAAGGCTCGAATACGCGTTTGGCTTTCACAAAGTCAACCCAAATTTTTCTTCGCTTTTTAGCTTCAGGCCGCTCATCGTTGAAATAAGGTATTGTATAAAGGCTAATACCATCTTTCAGACTCGCCTTGTTCGTACAATTTGCACCAACACAACTAAAAACCATTCTCAAAAGCAAGCTTTTAATAGCAAACGCCGTGTATGTAAATCTAGTTAAAATGTATTGTGAATGCGACAAGCATGTGCGCGACTACCTTGCGTGACGTCACAAAACATGCTCGCGCCAGCCCCCTTGCCACCACGGAAGTATGCCAGCAAATATCGCCATTTGGGCTGTTTCAAACCGCCATAAAAAGTCACCGTTTTTATCAAATTCAGTTTGGTTTTCTCTAAACCACTAGAAAGTATGCCCAGATTTGATATAGACGATAAAAAAAATTGTGTTAGAGGCACTTTAAGTTTGGTAGTTATAGCGTTGGAAGAATACACTGTAAATTTCAGGGAGTAAAAATTGCCCCAAAATATGGGGTAATATGGTTTCCAATGAACGCCCCGATTTTTTCGGGCGATTTTTACCCCTCTCAAATGGGGTAATTTTTACTCCACTCTTAAGGAGTAATTTTTACCCCATATAAAAATAGGTGTAATTTTTACTCCACTGTTACGGGAGTAATTTTTACCCCATAGTTTTCTATGGGGTAAAAATTACTCCCGTGAGAGAGGTGTAAAAATTACCCCTATCTTTATAGGGGTAATTTTTGCACCTCTGTTACGGGAGTAATTTTTACCCCATAGAAAGTAGGGGTAATTTTTCTCCCCAAACAACACTGCAAGGGAAGCAAATTAGCATGTGCAAATGATGCGCATGCATTACTTACACGAATCGCCTTAATACAACATAATAAACATATCACTCAAATAACAATCAATAAATGCTATATTTGAGAAATTCATAAGTGAATTGATTATTACTTAATTAAACTACATCTAATACAATATAATCATGCAGTCAAATACATGCAGTGCAATTAATAAACCATGTTTACATGCAGTATAAAAGATTTAACAATACCGGTCGCAACAATTTAAAAAGGAACCAAGATATAAATATTGAAAATTTCAAGATGTGGATTAAAACAAGACTTTATTTCAGGTATTCGTGCATAAATGAAAAAATTAAAACATTAATACCAGCTTATGTCGTGTCGTGAATGGGCACCATGCACGCTTGCCTTTCAAGGTAGAACCCGGATTCAATCCTTGGTTGGACCACTATACTTAAGGGCTTGCAATGATTGGGGAGAAAGATCTACCTTTACATTGATATACCTCGGATTCCCTATCAATGGGGCAGAAATTTATTATATAGCCTAACAGCTATACTCAATGAATATATCTTGGTTTTCACAATATGTTTATCTTCTGTTAGCTTATCAAAGCTATATAGCAACGTGCATGCTTAAACAACCCCACAACTATATATCAAACATCTTGAATATACAGAATCACGCATGAAGCTGTGACATGAAATTTTGCAGTGAAATTCTTTTCGCCGCAGCATCTTTAATGCCACACAAAATTATATCAATGGACAAGAAAACGTCTTTCCATTTTGGAGGGTAAGAGTCTAAGAGATGTTAAAAACATAGTAGGGCAAAAAAAAAATATGTGGGTTTCCGGTTTTCCGACCCTACCTAGCTTTTGGACGTCGAAATCCCGACCCTAAACTTTTTTATTGGATCATGCTTGTAAGTGTTTCCACTTAGAGGAAAAGTTTGTGGAAAATTGAAATTTGAGGCAATATTAGGGAAATTTATCTTTGGATGTGGAAGCACTGACTAAACAAAATGGCGTCCGCTTGTTCGGAAAAATAAAAAAAAGTTTAAAAAAAAAGTTAAAACCGACCTACCTTACCTAAGTTTTTATAAGAAGAAACCGAAAACCCACATATTTTTTTTTGGCCCAGGCAGCGTGGAGTGTGAGAAGGGCGCTGCAAGGGTGCTGCATGTCAATTGTCATGTCATCTCCAAACTTAACAATATTTTCTCCTTCAGTGCAGATATAAATGCAACGTTCAGGTCATATTTTGTCCCCAGCTCCAAGGACCATTTTAAGGGAACTTGGATGATCTGTGCAGGTCAATTTATGAGTCTGGATCATCCTAAAATGTTAAATGGATTATAATTTTTTTTAAGTTGAACAGCGAAATGGAATAAATGGTATAAGCAATATTTAAACTGTGGAACCAGTTAGTCGTAAGTGATGACAGCATCCCAATTAAGTCAAGGCTTGGAACAGGAGTAACAATTTTAATGTAGGTCAAATATAGATGGTTATTCACTTTCCGGGTATATTTCGATGCTGTATTAACCCACAACCCGCTTGGTTAACACACAGGCGGCCCAGACGTGTATTAGTGTGTAGTAAATATATCATTATAGAATATACTACACAGTAAAATTTGTAATGAATTTTATATTTTAAAATCATATTTACTTGCCTACTTTGATTGTATGTGATCGTCTTTTATTTCTGAGCGACTTTACATTCGATGCCTGCGACTGTCTTCATAGGTGATAGTATTGAAGCAAAGGCTAACGATTCCAGTTCTCAAACAGCCGACACGAACAATTCAAATCGAGAAATATCCCCTTCAAATTGCTTTGTTCCCGGTAAAACTTCGCCAGCGTATAGAATAAACACCCATCTTCGAACATACAAAGCAATATTAACACGTTCTATAATTTTTGCAATGGATTTTTAGCGAAATGTTTCGAGACTAAAATTCTATGGAACTTAGAAAGCCCGATAATTACTACGGCGCCTGCTTGGCCACCTAGCCTCCTTTACCGTTTTGATTTTCAGGGGGGGAGTCGAATAAAAAACACCTATTTCCGGCAACAGCCAGCCAATCAACGCCGCGATACCGACTCTCTTTCTATCTTATACTATACGATCGATAGAGTTTTGTTGTTGATAAATTGCAATATCAGATTTCAAATATTGTAAACAGTCGGTATCGCGGCGTTGATTGGCTGGCTGTTGCCGGAAATAGTGTTTTTTATTCGATCCCCCCCCCTGAAAATCCAAACGGTAAAGGAGGCTAGGTGGCCAAGCAGGCGCCGTAGTAATTATCGGGCTTTCTAAGTTCCATAGAATTTTAGTCTCGAAACATTTCGCTAAAAATCCATTGCAAAAATTATAGGACGTGTTAATATTGCTTTGTATGTTCGAAGATGGGTGTTTATTCTATACGCTGGCGAAGTTTTACCGCGAAGAAAGCAATTTGAAGGGGATATTTTTCGATTTGAATTGTTCGTGTCGGCTGTTTGAGAACTGGAATCGTTAGCCTTTGCTTTCAATACTATCACCTATGAAGACAGTCGCAGGCATCGAATGTAATGTCGCTCAGAAATAAAAGACGATCACATACAATCAAAGTAGGCAAGTAAATATGATTTTAAAATATAAAATTCATTACAAATTTTACTGTGTAGTGTATTCTATAATGATATATTTACTATACACTAATACACGTCTGGGCCGCCTGTGGTAAAAGCAACGGGAATTGAACTTCGAACTATTGTTCACAGTAGGAATTATTCGTAGTATCAGATTTCTTCTGTACACTAGGGAGGTCACCCACGTACAAATCAAATCCGCCTTCGTCCAAAAAGCAACGAGCAAAGTAAAAATTGGGCTTAAGTATATAATTGAGTAATTCGCAAATTGATTCCATCCATAGTTCTTCTATAATCATAAACGGCTTATGTTTACACCGTCAGATCGAGGTTTTATTACACAGCCTACAGGGGATCAGTTACCCGACCGGGAAAAGTTTAAAATAGCGCGCGCGGGAATATAGCATTCAGATTATATAGAACCTCGCAGCGACAGTTTAATACAACAACCTTCAATTCTGTAAAGCTTTTGGTGGTATACCTTGCGCAAAGCCGGTTGAAATGGCGCATTTTAACCAGCATTCCCACACAGCGAGTGGCGCACTTGCTACCAGTGGAATGCGCAACCTTCTGGATGCTACAATCCCAGTGCCTCCATAAGCTGAACAGAATTGTCAATTGTCTACCTACAAAATAGCGACGTCTCAATACCAAATTACACCGAGGAACGACGTCTTAAACGCAACAGACGTAATGAAAGTTTGGGCCGAGAAAGAGTTTGGAAATGCCAAACAAAGTCGTCTCACGAATAAAATAAAGAGTCAGATTGAGAACGAGACCAAGGCCGTATATCTCAGCTACGATCGAGGGCAGTGTATTATGACCTATTATTTTATTGGAGAAAGTGGAAATACGAAAGATCCTTGTGTTGAACGACTAGCTGTGTGTAAGTACATGTAGAAATTGTATGTAGTTCATATACAAAATAAAGAAATTGTCTATCTGCATGAAGCTGGATAGCTAAAAATGATATACTCAGCTTCTGTTTAAGGTATTTTGCCTTTGGCGATAAAATTATATTTGTATATTTATATATGTCAATAGAATCAACTGTCCAAGCGAATTGCGCTGTCTATATAAGCGCCTAAATTCAGGTGATATAAGTATAACATTTCATGTTTATACTGTAATATTCAGCATAGCTCTAATTCTGTTAAATTATCGACAGCATGTGTCAGGTTTTGTCTTCATTTAAGATAAAACTAAACGTGATTAAATGTTATTTCTGCCTTTAGTCAACATTTAAACTGCGCATTAAAGGTAATTAAAGTATGTGCGGTTTGCAGAATAATATTTTGGGCTCACTTTTTCGACTTTGCCTTGTAACCAAGCCTGATTCAAGATGGCCGCCATCAGTTGCTTAGCAACTTACCGTCATTTTTACCGCAAGAAGTTTGACGCAAATTCCACTTAAAATGTCGTTAATTTAGCGGTAAATTTAATATTTCGCGCCATATTTTTAATTTTTAAATATCGCGCGCCATTAGACGGTATTTACTCTAGCTATTTCAAGTTCTTCTTCGAATTTTTTGATATTATAATCAGCAATGGAACCCAAGGGAATTCAGAATCTTGGAAATACATGTTTTATGAACAGTATCTTTCAAAGCTTGTTGTCCATCGAAGGATTTGTACAGCGTGTAGATTGTCTCGAGCGTTGCAGTCGAGATTTTACTTTTAGTAAAGCATCAGGTGAGAATCCTATGGTACATTTAAAATACACTATAGCTGTATTTAATTTTGATTTGATAAAGAGGTCATTCCATTCGTTCTATTCAGGGCTGTCGTAAAAGTCTTCCATGTGAATTCAGACGAATTGAATTCGTTATTATATTCGTCGATTAGTCGTCATTAAAATGGTTTCGTTCCACTTTTCAAACGACGAATTTAATTACGATGCACTGCTACCGTCACATTTATTTCGTTCAATTAAATATTTAAATTCGTCTAAATTAAATTCGACGATAGTGCGCTGTGCGACGTATGAAAGAATGCACTTTCTTGTCATGCGGGGTTTTCCCTGTGGTTTTCCCTAGCTTGTTAGTATTTTAATAGACCGGTTCAGAATTTCGACTGCGCGTCCAATGACGCGTTCTGACAGCCTAGACATGCTTCACCGAAAAACAATCCGCCATATTTATTGATTAATAAAATTGATTTTATCAAAGTACATCCTTGAACACTGAAAAATAAAACACTTTGTATAGAATGATATAAAAAAAAACAACGTAATTGTAAAAAACGATATCAAGAAATTTCACAAATATTCAATATAAAATTATTAAACATAGGTCAGTTGTATATAAAGCCTGTTGACTCATGAGCGAGTATTATAAAAGTACTAACATAAAGCACCTGAAAACATCAATTGAATCGGTTCTTCGATTAATATCTTCGCTTTTTTTCGCCTTTTCGATGTCACTGTTATTGTTTGTCTCTTTAAATTCCTCGCTCTTTCCTCGGGCCAAAATACGGATAGTGGAATTTGCGTCAAATTTCTTGCGGTAAAAATGACGGTAAGTTGCTAAGCAACTGATGGCGGCCATCTTGAATCAGGCTTGGTTACAAGGCGAAGTCGAAAAAGTAAGCCCAAAATATTATTCTGCGTGCGGTTTAATGTTGGTTTTAACTCGCTTTAATATCCTCACTAAATGCAATTAAGTGTATCAGTTTCCAAAAGAGGTGTTTTATTCAGAGTAAATGCGATTAAATGTAACTTTTTATTTAACCACCTTTAGTCAGCTTATTAAAGGTGTAAACACATATTTAATATCTTTAGTATCTTTGCTAAAGCTGATTAATGACACGCTTTTCGTCCTGTGTATGACTAACTATTGCTAGTTTAAAAAAGTTTGGTATTTTTCCAGTTTGAAACAATAAATTATAAATATATGTTAGAGGCTTGATTATATTTTCACTAATCTTTTTTATCATAAGTCATCTTCCCTGAACATGGCGAAATATTAAATTTCGACTTCAATATTAGGCTCGAACTTCGACCTCGCTCAATAGTGAAGTCTTATAAACTTAACATTTTGCTTTATTGGGCTTAGAAGAATTGAATAAGATATAATACATGACTACCTGATTGCTTACATATTACTGTCTGATCAGTGGCGTGCTGGCAGGGGGGCCCGGGGGGCTGGCAATTTTTGGGGGCGCAAAAATGAAAAGGGGGCGCCGATCCCGCGCCGAATTTTGAAAGTAGGTGGGAAGAAACCCATTCGAAAAAATATAGTTACTAATTCCGCCAAGGAAAGATATGTTTATAGACTTATAAACAGACTAAGCGCATAGGCGACAAAGTGAGTATATTAAATTGCAGACTATTTTGTCTAACCGTATTTGCTACCTCACGACTCACACGAAATCACTCGTTCATATAGAAACATGATCAGTGATCGCATGCAATGTCTCATTACCGGAATATTGATCAGGCTTTGAAGCGATCATGGGAATTATGCCCTTTTTTGCTGGTATTATACCCTTATATTATGCCCTTTATTATGCTTCACGAATCACGAGAGCGGCGCAAATTAGATAGTTGAAGTTATGATAATGTAAAGTTATGTACGCAATTTAGTTGTTTGCGCAAGAAACATTATGAGTAATGTAAGTAATGAAATAATGCTGAAACGCGCCCTTTTGGCAGCCAGGCAAGGAAACCTTAAAATGCATATGCGTGGAGTCCATATGTTATTGTATAAAAGAGCTGTAAATGTGTAAATGTATTCAGATCAGTAGAGAATAGAATTGGGATTAGATTAATTGCTGGAAGTAGTTAGCATTGCCCTATTTAAGTGCTACTACTAAATTCTAACCAATTTTCAAATTTCGGCACGTTGTAATGCCGTTTCCTGACCATCAGATTTCTGTCAAATCTTCCCCCAAAGTCCAGGAAATGGCATTTCAGAGACTCTAAATTCAAAAATTTTCCTGGGGGGGGCATGCCCCCGGACCCCCCTAGACAAACCTCGCACCTGCGGCGCTCGGCTCGTGCCTTCGGCCCTCGTTTATCAAGCGTAATATTATAGGGGCGCATATTAGTTGCCAGCCGACGGCCCCCCCCAGAAAAATAGTACCCAGCACGCCACTGTGTCTGATATTTGCAACACAAATGTTACGAAGTTATTTGCCGCCATTGGAATTATACATATTATAGCAATTCCATTTATCAGATTTTTTTATAAAAAATCTTTGGTTTTTACTTTTTTCTTCGAATCTTTTAGGGTTTTTTAAAGTGTGTTTTAAACATGCACAGTTTACTTTCGGAAAAAAGTTGTCATATCAATTCCCCTTCAACATTTTTTACAAAAATTTTATTTACATTTTCTAATTTTAGAGGCTGATTTGTTCAATTGTCATATTTGTCATTCTAACAAAAGGGATTACTGCAGGTATTATAAATCCTCGAGCCGACAGCGCTGTGCAAGAGTACTAATTCCGTCCCGGCTAAGTTATTTGCATGCAGGAATTTCAAATAATTTATTTCAAACTCAAAGTTTATCGATAAAGACATTTAGTTTTATAATAAATATTTTAAACCGTTTTGCAAAGCGTTTGCAGTTGAAATTTACATTAATTAAATTGGCTTATATTACGTATGATTAGGTACCTTAACTATAAATACATGCATGCATGAGAACCTCTAATTAAGCCTCTTCGGCAAAATCATTATACTTTCCGAACATGAAGTATTTGAACTAGTTATTATAGTCACACGATAATTTGATTAAAAATGATTTTAAAATTGAAAAAATTCTGTAAAAAATATTACTTTTAAAAACAAATTTATCAATTTCTAAAATATATATTTGTTACAAAACGCATCGCAAAACGTTTTAAAATGTGCTTATACATTTTTTATATCGATACACGTTGACAATGAGTAATGTTTTCAAATGAAATGTTTTTCAAATACTTGCAGCGTCGCATGAAATTAACATTTTGCTTTCCTCTTTTTGTTTATTAAACCTAGAATGCGTGCTTGGTCACGCGTGATTGCATGGTGTCCAAATTGAAAACAAAAATGCCCTCATAAATCTGACATATTGAATTTGAGAATAGGACTGCAAACTACGAAGTAGCCTATAAACAAAGCTGAAACTACAATCCTAGACAAATAACACGCGGACGCTGATCAAAAATGGCTGAAGTTTCAGGCAATCAAATATTTATACACATATCCAGCGGTATTCCCCGCTCCCCCGTTACAATGTTGTTGGTACAAATACTGCAATAGTTGCCATGATGTCTGAAGTGTTCATCAACATTGTTTCAGGGGAGGGGGGGGGGGACCAACTTTACGAAGTATATGTGAAAATGTTGCAAAAAAAAAATTATGTTTGTCCAAGTAAATTTGTGTATGATTATAAGTTTTCATCCTCAAAACGTTTTGTCTTGCTGTCTAATTTGTAGTTTGGGGATATATTTTGAAATATTAAGTTCTTTAAAGGCTCAAAGCAAATGACTGTGCAGTTCCTAACAATTGTGCAGCCTTGTAAAAACAAAGTAGTTTTGCGTATTAAAATATAATTTATTCATAAAACATTTTTGCTTGCTCTGAACGTGACTACTTAAACTCTAAACCTTAAACCTAAAACTCTAAGTGTGCAAAGCATAACGGAAACAGTTATGCTTAATCAGTTTAGAAAGCAGTTTGGGGCCCATTTCTTCAAAACATGGTAAATATCTCCTTAGGAGAACAATTTATTAAAAAATAGCTAGCACTGCGATAGTCAACTTTTAAGCTTGAAACTTGCGCTCCCATTGAGCTTTACGCGCTTAGAGTTTAAGGTTTAAGGTTTAGAGTCTAATTAGGTAGGTAGGTAGGTAGGTAGGTAAAACTTTATTTAACTACGCTAACACCTACAGCGAAGGCTGATTTCCAAGGGGGGGGGGGCGTAGATTTAAATAGTTAAAAAATACAATTAATACAAATTATGGTCATACATTACATTACAGTTAACAACAATTACAATACATTTACAAATACAACTAGTATATAATTATTTACAAATTAAATTAATGTTAGTACTGTTCAATATTTTTAATTAACGTAATCAATTAATTAATTAATTAATTGGCCAGGTGTCGTATACATGAATTAAACGAAACAAGAGTGTGTTTGTTTCTTGCTTCGTCAGAAAGGCTGTTCCACAATTTCGCTCCTCTATAACTAAGACTTTTTTTAAGATATTCAGTCTTAGGTTTGGGCAAAAAGAGTTTGGTGGAAGAGCCTGGCATATTATAGTAATAAGAGGAAGACGTCCTTTGAAAAATATTGGTTAGTCGTTTTGGCCCCAGTTCGCGAGTTATTTTATACATAAGACTTACTACGAACTGTATTCTGCGTTCACTTAAAGGTTTCCATTTCAGTTCGTCTAGAGCAAGTTCAGATTGACCGTGTTCGTTTTTACGGCCAGTAATAACTCTAGCTGCCCTATATCTTGTAGTTTCTCGAGTCGATCAGAAAGAGTGGCACCAATGGTGTCCCAAACTTCGCAACAATAATCTAGGTGTGTAAGTATAGGTGCATTATAAGAACAAATTAATGTATTATTATCCACACAAGATTTTAGCTTTCTGATCGCCCCAATTCCGGATGAAATCTTCTTAGCAATTTTATCAATATAAACGTTTACCCCACAATAGAAACTCGTCAATATGAACTCCAGGCGCTTTTGTTTCTTTGACCTTTTTAATTGGTGTATCACCGACAAATATATTTGGAGCAGCAAGTAAATTATTTATGTTGTACCGAGATCCTATTAGTAGATACTCAGTTTTGACTAGATTAAGAGATAATCTATTTGCAGAAAGCCATTGTTTAACGTTGGTAAGGTCATGATTTATGGCCACCTCTACATCTTGGATTGACTTGCCAGATACACTTAGAGTCGTATCGTTGGCAAACATTCTTGTCGACGAGTACTCCAAACTGTTAGGCAGATCATTAATGTAGATCAAGAATAAGAGTGGGCCAAGAATTGAACCTTGAGGGAGTCCACATGTAACCAACTTCATGCCCGACAGGGCGCCATTAACGAAGCACATTTGGGTTCTATTCGCTTAATAGGATCCTAAAAGGTTTAACGATGGCTTCTGTAGGCCATAAAGATCAAGTTTCTTTAAGAGGATGTCATGATTTATGGTGTCGAACGCCTTTTGTAAAGTCCAGAAAAACAGCTATATTATACAAACCACGGTCCATATTAATAAACCATTCATGTGGTACTATCTGTAAGAGCAGAGGGTGTAGAATGAAACTTCCTGAAACCAAATTGACGAGGGGACAACAACTCCTGTGTAACAAGATACTCATGGAGTTGTTCGTATGATACTTTTTCAAAAAGTTTACTTACTACAGGGAGGATAGAAATGGGGCGATAGTTGTTTAGTAAGTTTCGTGGGCCGTTTTTAAATGTGGGAGTGACTCTTGCTATTTTCCACTCAAAAGGAACAGTTGCACTTATAATGGACATATTGAAAATTTTTGTCAATGAGTTTGTAATTACAGGAGCAGCAATGCGAATAATTTTAGCAGGGATTTTGTCAATTCCAGTAGATTTACGAGGATTTAGAGATAACAGAAGTCTGTATATGTTCGACTCAGACACCGTTTGAAAATTAAAGCTACTAGTTGTTGTCGTGATGTAATCCTTGAAATTTCTGTCACCATTGTCGATATTTTTGGCAATATCTGGACCAATATTGGTGAAATAATTATTAAAACACTCCGCTAACTCCGTTGGATGTAAGATTTGTCCTCTCTGTGTTTCAAGACAATTTATTTCTCTACTTTCGTGTTTACGGTTTAGGATTTTATTCACAGTTTTCCATGCTTGTTTGGGATCATGTTTGACTTTCTTAAATTCTCCTTTATAATATGCTGCTTTTATTTCTCGCAATGCATCAGTTACGCGATTTTCTAGAGGTTTTGTATGCGTTCCAGTAATTTTCCGATTTATGTCTAATAGCAAGAGATTTAAGGCAATTCGCGAATTTGCTTTTTAATTGTACTAGTGAGCCAAGGAACATTTGGTTTACTTTTAACTCTCTTTTCCCTGATTGGGGCATGCCTATCAAGAACTTGTACGAAAAGTGCTTTCCATGTGTCCCACATCTTATCAACGTAGAGATTGTTATCTAATAATTCCCATTCCTGACCACGCAGGTCAGCTTGAAAACTCTCAACATTAAAATATTTTAAATTACGAATTTCAACTTTCTTGTGACTGTTTTGTTTGCGCTGGATATTTATTTTACGAACAACGAAGATCATGTAATGATCACTAATGGCAATAAGTATTACCTGTGATGTTATTAACTTAGTTGGAGTGGGAGTAAGACAAACGTCTATTAGGGAGGATGAGGTCGTGGTCACGCATGTGTTTAGCGTTTGCGATAATTGATGTAATTCCATGATTGAATTTAAATTCTTTGTGGCATTTCACCAAGTATGTAAAATTCCTTATTTTCATCATTTATTGTTTTTACTAATTGCTCAATTGCGGCAAAAAAATCAACAGAAGCACTTGGAGGTCTGTAAAATAGTACCGACAATAAATGGTGCAGTGGAAGGTTTGCGAATCTCAACACATATCGCTTCGAGATTATCTCTAGTCAGATCTTTTCATTCTAAATAGTTAAGGGAAGTTTTCACATATAAACAGACGCCTCCCCCTGTTCTAGAACGATCGACCCTAATAAGATCATAATTACTTTATGTACATATCCTGCATGGTTATTAATAGTATCATCCAATAATTGAGAAACGCGTCGATTAAAGGTCCATACACACCGGGCACAATTCGACAACGCGACGCGATTTTTCGATTTTTACTGAACGATAACTTTGATCCTAGTATAAATCTTCCAAATATTTAGAAACCTTATAACATTTTGTGTTATTTGGTCTAAATATCTTTTAAAATTTGCTCTCATTGGCTGTTTTATTAACTTTCAAAAACTAAAAAATCGCGTCGCGTTACCTAATCGCGTCCGGTGTGTCTGGATCTTAAATGTGAAAGAGACAAAAATAGGACGGAATAAAATGAATTTAAATTAAAAGAGATGAATAATCTTGTCACTTGATACATTTGGCACCAGGTGTCTTGTATTTGTCTATGAGAGACCCCTTGTTATTGTATCATGTTTTGAGAATGAGTTCAGTTTTGATATTTGTTGTCGATCTGAGCAAAATATTGATTATTGATTTGCCTACTGAGGCACACAGTATTGAACAGTCAATTGTGGTGAGTGATGCTTGAACTGCCTGTTGTATGTTGTGAGTGATTTTGAGCGCCTGTTGTAATGAGTGACACTAAATTGCCCCAATTGTGGCTCAGGAAAAAATGTACCTGCTGACTTGTCAAATAATCTCCAAAAATAATGTTCTGGGAAGTAATTTGTGTAATTGATTACAAACAAAAACAAGGGCTTGTTAACAGTATAATGAGGAAATTAATTCCCTCTCATTGTATTATTCAGCCTTGATAAAAGCATATGGAGGCTTTCTGTTTGATTTGACCCTCATGTATGTAATTGTTTGGGAATGTCTGATCATTAAGATCACAACATTTGTTTTGAAGCTTGGCCTTTGAAATTTAAACCCTTCACAGTGGCGTGCTGGCAGGGGGGGCCGGGGGGCCACGGCCCCCCCCCCCAGCTGGCAATTCTTGCAGGGCGCAAAAATGAAAAGGGGGCGCCGATCCCGCGCCGAGTTTTGAAAGTGGGTGGGAAAAAACGCATTCGAAAAAATATAGTTACTTCCGCCGAGAAAAGATGTATTTACAGGCTTATAAACAGACTAAGCGCATAGGCGACAAGGTGATATATTAAATTATACAGACTATTTTGTCTAACCGTATTTGCTAATTTGCTACCACACGGCTCACACGAAATCGTTCATATACAAACATGAACTGTGATCACACGCAACGTCTCATCACCGGAATATTGGAATCATGCCCTTTTTTGCTGGTATTATGCCCTTTATTATGCTTCACGAATCACGAGAGCGGCGCAAATTAGATAGTTTAAGTTATGATAATGTAAAGTTGTGCACGCAATTTAATTGTTTGCGCTAGAAACATCATGAGTAATGTGAGTAATGAAATAATGCTGAAACGCGCCCTTTTGGCAGCCAGGCAGGGAAACCTTAAAATGCATATGCGTGGGGTCCGTGTGTTATTGTATGAAAGAACTGTATGTTGTAAATGTATTCAGATCACTAGATCAGTAGAGAATAGAATTGGGATTAGAATGGGGGGGGGGGGTGTGATCTGGATTGGGAGGGCAAATCATCTGGGTTGGCAGGGCAATGAAAGATTTTAATTAAATGATAGAATGTTGAGTTATTAAGTAGCATCCACGGCTTCCAGGGCAAATTGAATAGGATTTATAGACCTAAATTTTGCGGATATTAGTAAAATAATAAGGGTTTCGTGCATGTTTTAACAGAAATCTGTCGGGAAAACATTATTAACCCTCCATTTAACTGGTTTGTGTCCGGAAAAATTTTTTCGATCTCCGGCCGCTCGCCAACTTTTTTTTAGGAGAAATAGTGCCCCACAATTTTTTTTGCTGCAAGGCATCATCGGCTTTCGCAGGGCAATTCTAGCGGACACACCCTAACTAAAAGGGGCTAGTTTCGCCTCTGGTGGGACTTGTGATCATATTATTCTAAAAAGAATTCTAACTTATTTTAATGGTACAAACATTTATGCAACAAACAACCGCTTACAGAAAATATGCAAAATAAAATGTATTGATGGAATCTAGTCGAACATTGCATGCCTCTGAACGATGCTAAAGATTTCTGCTATGTGTGGTTGCTGCCTTGCAAACACATAACAATCAAATGCCAAATATTTAAATCTCCTAAGTAAGGGAACCAGAACGCTGTTGAAATGTTGATGACGAATTGTTTATTAAGTCAATCCGTTGGTATACTATATATATACTTTAACGATCGTTCCCAGAATGGCCACCAAAACAGCCTGATACTTTTAAGAGCCAAATTTTTTTCGCTTAAAAATGCTCGTTCATAAAATATCTGATCAGTATATATGGAAATGTAGGGTTACAAGAATTGCGTGCATGATTTCTTCGTTCATCGGGAAAACGATCTTGATCCAAAGAGAAGAACTTTGTTTGTTCACATACAGGATGGAGTTTTGAAAACTTTGCATTTTTCTTGTATATAATGCGCACACACCCGCACAGAATAATATTAGTTGCAATAATTGTAACAGGTTATATATGTTGTTTGAATAAAACATGCAGTATCACTTTATTTAGATGTTGATGGATGTTCTATGGGATCTCATACATGCCATGCTAATGCGACCTGTACTGATACAAATGGTTCCTATACTTGTACATGTTTCGCAGGTTTCACTGGAAACGGGACATACTGTAAAGGTAGGGAAGAAACAGATCCTTAGTTTAACCATTACTTGCTTTTAGATTCTTGTGTTCACAACTCCCGTAGGAGGCGCGAAATTTGGGGGACTTTGCCTCCGGCCCCAGCTCAAAGCAACGACTGCCTTAAATAGGCTTCATTAAGATTGAAGAAGTTTATTAAAAAATATTTAATAATTACAAAAACTAAATTTTTGGCTACATGCCACAGCCTTCTTCAGATTACCTACAATCCTGGACAAAACATCTGCGACACTTCGAATTACTTGACAAAATGTCGTAATATTATCGTAAATTTAGAAAACCTCCCCCTTTCCCCCCACCATTCAATGTTGGTTGCATTCGTAGAATACGGATAAAACGTCCGACATTGTTTTGGGGGGTGGAGGGTAGCAAACGAGTAAATTATTCCAGTCTAACTGATAAAAAAGCCACAAAGGAATGTTTTAATAGAGTGTCGCAGATGGTTTTGTTCAGGATTGTCTGAAATGAGTCGAAATTATATTCTTTTATATTTCGCTTTTTATACATGTCCTTGCCATGTATTTCGTTTATGCGCATTGCTTATGACCTACTTATGTTCAAAATTTCATCAATTACCTTATTTCATTAATTAAATACTTCATGAATACCTTACTGTTTTGAAAGGGTAATAATGTGTGAACTTTTTGCCGCGAAAATCGCGTACGATATATTATTTTTTTAGCATTCAAAGGCAACGAAATGTTGCGGAAATAATTGAGAATGTAAAACTATCGCGTTCTAGTCGATATCATTACAATAATTCAGAAATTAAGAAATATGAGATAGATAGATAGTGGATAGATAGTGTATTTAAAATTCACCTTGCAGCTGGACAGCTGAATTGCGTGATTTACAAGAGTATATAAAACATTATTTAAAAGATAGAACATGGATTAATTAGGCATATTTACAAATGGTCATTAAAACGCTTAGTACTAAAAATTACATTAACTTAAGTTACTAGACATAGGAATAAAAGTTTTTTTAAATCTTTCTGTATTAGTTTCGAAACGTTCAAACAGTCTATTGTTCCTAAGTTGGTAAACCGACTCATGTTTGGGAGGCAGTAAATTATGCAGTTTGTGTGTCGGATTGTTAGTAATATTTGTAAAAAGTTTGTTACACATTTCTTCGCGTCTTTGGAACAAAGTTTGAAGATTGAAATATTCTAAAGTTTCGCTATATGAGTTCGCGGGTAAAATGATCTTCAGTGCTCGCTTTTGTACCGTCTCAAGATCTTCTGACAGGAAGGATGGGATTGAGTAATGGAAAACCGGGGCACAATATTCCAAAATGGGCCTGATAACTGTACAGTAAAAGTTTACAATGTCTTTCGGACTGACTTTTGCGCGCTTAAGTAAGATAATGAAGTAAAGACGTTTGTTAGCTTTTTTGATGACTTCGTTAATGTGGTTAGTCCATTTAAGGTTACTAGAGATGGTGAGGCCTAGAATTTTAGTGTTTTGGACAACCGGCAATTTCTTCCCGTAGACTGTAAGAGGGTCGAAGTTCTGTTTCGTG